CAAAAGTCCTGTGAGCAGAATCCTAATCTGCAGGTATTAGCTCAGACAGGCCCTGCAAACACTTGCTGGACCTTGTTAATGAGTTCAGTGTGTTCGGGATGCTGGGGCCCCAGAGACACCACATTCTACCCAGCCAGCCCCCATCATCACCTGATTTTTAGGATTCTCAATCTTAATGCTATCTCAACCCTTTTTTCACCCTACTTCTCTTAAATACCTTATTTTCTCCTGCTGTTATCTATGGGGAGTTTCCAAACACACATCTGGAGTCATGCAGGTCTGAGGTGAAGTTTTCACTAGTTTGCATCAATACAAGGGGAGAAAAAAAGGTACAACCAGTAAGATTTTTGTTAAGCTAGTCTTATTCTGAAATTATTATGACATTTCCTTCTTTTTCTTTCTTCCTTCCTTTTGATGTTAAATTATCCCTGCTTTTATAAAACAGCGATGGCAGTTATTTTTGTTTCGTTAATGTCCTTAATTCAGAAAATAAATGTTGCCCACCCTATGTTGACCACTCTGTATTTGTGTGCTTGTGTGTGTGTTAGTACACGTGTGTTTAAGTTCAATGATCTGTTGAGGCCCAAAGCATTATGGAGCCATGATGTACTTGTTTACTGTTTCAAGAGATGGTATCCTGGTCTAGGAGACAACCTGGTTCAGAGAAAAGAACAGAAGGCTCTGGAGTTGCACAGACAGGATCTGAATCTGGTTCTCATGTCCCAGAGCAGGCACTCAGCTCCCTGAGCTCAAGCTTTGTTTTCCCTACACCCGGGGTACCTCCAAGAGTTGTCAGAAGATGAAAGCTTCTAACATAATGCATGATATACAGTAAGTGCTGAAAGAATGTTTGTTCCCTGACCTTCTCTGCCTCTTTTTCCCCCTCACTTAGCATTCAGAGAATTAGATGAAAAACACTCAGCACACATATAAGATATAAGAAAATGCAAGACTCTAACACTAGCAAGTGTCCACAATTAAAATGTTGAGTGAGGGAAGGACTGGCAGAGAGACTGGTGTGAAACTGCAGAATTGGGCAGGGTTAGTTCAGGAAGACTCCCTCCACGACTGAGGTGAGTTTTGAAAGGCATCCATAGCACATTGAGACTGAGGGAGTCTTAGAAAGTGCTGGTATACTGGACAGCATCCAATCCTAGGTTCAGCAAAGTGTGGGACATAGCCCACTAGGAATACGAGAGATGTGGTACACAGGCATTAAACAACATGCAATCACAAGTGAGAGTTTTTCCCCTTCCAACTTCCTCAATTCTGTTGATTGTATCACCAAGACAGTCTCAGTTTGTGCTAGACTATCTTTAACACTTAATAAGAACCCATTTTAACAAAGAAGATCAGGCTGCAGGATCATAGCCATCAGGAGGCAAGACTATCTAGATGATTAAAAATACCGTTTTAGGGCCGGCCTGGTGGTGTAGTGGTTGAGTGCTCGCACTTCATTTCAGTGGCCCACAGTTCACAGGTTCGGATCCCAGGTGCAGACCTATGCACTGCTTATCAAGCCATGCTATGGTGGCGTCCCTCATAAAGTACAGGAAGATGGGCATGGATGTTAGCCCAGGGCCAATCTTCCTCAGCAAAAAGAGGAGGATTGGCAACAGATGTTAGCTCAGGGCTAATCTACCTCACACACACACACACACACACACACAAAAATACTGTTTTATTTTCATTGTCTTTATTTTTACTATTATCTTCTGTTTATATTTTATTCCATTTACATTGATGATACAAAGACTTTTAAGATTTAAATTTTAAAGGAAAGTAAATTTAAAATATTAAGGTAATAATAATATTGGTGATACACAGCACAACCAATCATTAGAGTGGCCCAATAATGAGTGAAATTTAGGAAACTCTGATCTAGCCCACCCCTCTCATAAGGAAATGGATGAGGAAACAGGTTCAGGGAGAGGAAGGTACTCTTTCCCGAGATTGTATAGCTAGCTATCCTTAGGACTGAAGCTGAGTTCTCCTGTGCCCCTCTTCATCTATCTAACTCTGCATCAGACAACAAATTCTCGTGCTAAACTGAAGGTAGTTGGATATAAAATAAACAACAGACTATGTGCATGGGTTGTCAGGAAAGGACTGGTTCAGGAGGCTGGTGTGTGTTACAGGGGAGACTTGGAGAAGACAAAGGCTTGTGTAGAACCTAATGCTTGAGGTCTGTGCTCCTCATCAACCAGAAGACAATTCCGGAAGGCATCAAGAACAGTCTCTGAGTCAGCTCCAGAGGTTGTAGTGGCAGAGATTCCTCTTGGAATCCAGCAAAGATGGCTTGAATCCCAGCTTCTCCAGCTGGCAAGAAACAAGCAGACATTGCTACGCTCATCCTTACTCATTTTTTACTGTAAAAATTTACAGGAATGATAACAGCTAACATTTATTGGGCACATCATCTGCCAAGCCCCTTTGATGCATTATCTCACTTAACCCTCAAAAAAACACTAGAAGGCAGTTATTGTTATCTCCATATGATAGATGAGGACATTTGGACTCTGAATGATGAAAGCGCTTACCAGCATTTCTAAAACTAAATAAATGCTGGAATAGGATTCAAACGCAAGCAGTTTTAGTCCAGAGTCTGGCCTAACCACAACTCCTACACAAATTAAATGCAGATAACGGCTCTAAAGCATCTAGCACAGTGCCTGGCACATAGGAGGCAGAGAATGTCAGCAGTTTCCGTGCCCTCCCTCTCTGCCCACGAGGCAGTGCCAGTCACTTTCAGCCTCGCATCTAGAACCTTCTTTGCTGGGGCCTTGCCTGGGACTACAACTCCCAGGATGCACCAGGCAGAGAAGCTGGCCAATCAGGAAGCCCAGTCTCGCTTTCCCTGCCTGCTAGTCCCACTTAACGGTCAGAACTTCGTCAGTACCTCGGTGCCCGTTGACTGGGTGGGTCCTGACAGCGTCGGGGATGTGGGCAGGCCAGGGTTGCTCGGTTTTAAAAAATGATCCTAATCCGGTTTGGGAGGGTGAAGACGAAATTTCCAGGCTGCCTCAGGCCCCATCTTCAGCCACCACGCCGGCGGGCCTCGAAGTTCCGGGGCCCCTCATGGCGTCGGTTGGGCCTGCCGGTTGGACCTGGTGGTGGAGAAGGGCGGTTGGCTGGGTGGGTGCGGGCAGGGACGGTGGTCGTCCGCAGGCCGGGGTGCCGCTGAGCGCGTTTTGCGATGTCCTGATCCTGTCTGGGAGCCTGAGGACCGTGGAAACGTCCAGGCTGCCTTCGGCTCCATCTTCGGGCCAAGCGGCGGCTGGGCGGGCTGGCTGCACCCCGCGGCCGCGGAGACGGGGGCTCCGTGGGGGTGTCGGTGGGCCGGGAAGGAGGGATTGGCCCAGAGGAGGAAAAGTGCGCGAGGACAGTCCTCCCCGGGCAGGGCTGAGCCGCGTTAGCGCCCTCAGGCTACCGTGTCTTGGCCTCTGACCCCGACTACTCCCTTTGCCCCCAGAGCCGGTCCCCACTGCTCACCTGCTGGGGAGGTGCCGGGTGGGCGGCCTCTCCTTTCTCTGCGTGCTGGCCTGACCAGCTCCCTGGGGACGGCTGGGGGCAGCTCTGGCCTCTCCAGACCGGCGGAGTCCAGTCGTGGCTCTGCCCTCTGGCCCGTCCCGGTGGGCGCTCGAGGGCCGTGGACAGCCAGACCCCAGAGTGGGGAGGGTCACCTTGCTTGGGCGTTTCTCTGTCCCTTTAGTTTTTACTCCCCTCTTGGGTTTATATATATATATATATATTTTTTTTTTTTTTTTACATTCGATCCTCATTTTTAAGGATTTTTAATTCCGCCATCTCCACCGCACCTCCTTTATTTTTTATCATCTTTCCTTTCCCCTCAAACCTGAATCTTCTGGTTTGCCATAACCAACCAAGGAAGAGAACCGCCATTCCCTTTTTAGCGTGTAGATGCTTGTCGGTGGATGCAAAGGGTATTTCATTCATTGTTTGGAAAACAAAATTTTTATTTCTTTTACAGGGTCTCCGAAGTGAGAGAGAGATAGCGTAAATTCCCGCACTCAGGAAAAGGCAGAGGCAGGAAATTGAGTTAAAGGTTAGTTTTCGTTATTTTGGACAAACTGCCCACCTTTCACATTGCTGGAGTCGTGTGTGCTGATTGTGGTTTATTTTTTCAAGTCGTTTTGAGAGATTTGAATGGCTACGGTTAGTTTGTAGTGAACCACCTCTATATATTTGTATCTGACACAACTGGTTAAATATATGTACTGTGCATATAACATAATAACGGGTTGATTTACACATTTCAGTGAACCAAAATTAAAATGTGTTGCCCTAACTCCCAAAGCTCAAGTAGAAGTGGACATTTTGCCATCTTCTTAGTCAATTAATTGTAATCAAATCTTATTTTTTTTTTTTAAAGATTTTATTTGTTTTATTTTTTCCCCCCAAAGCCCCAGTAGATAGTTGTATGTCATAGCTGCACATCCTTCTAGTTGCTGTATGTGGGACTCGGCCTCAGGATGGACGGAGAAGTGGTGCCTCGATGCGCACCCGGGATCCGAACCCGGGCCACCAGCATTGCAGCGCGCGCACTTAACCACCAAGCCACAGGGCCGGCCCTCAAATCTTATTTTGAGTTTTACTGTGTACTTAAAGAAATTGTATATGAACCCTGTCATTCAAGAATAAGGTACAAAAAGACACCGACTTACATAAAATTAGAGAAGATCTCATACGGTTGCTAAATGGTAAGGTGGTTTCTAAGTGCGAGGCTCTCTGAAGAGGGCACAGCTGCGTTTCCGTTGTAAGGGCCCCATCTTGTGGATGTGGTTTGATTAAAGAAGAAACCTCATCCTAAGAATCCCAGTTGGTGGTGTTTTCAGGTGGAAAAATATTAACAAGTTGATGCCTTCTTGTGTTGGAATTCTCATCGTTTATAAAGACTATTATTTCACAATTATTACAGTTCTGTAATAACAGATTTTTCTTTTAGAAATACTGAAAGTTTAAGTATTTTAAAAGTGCACATAAATACTTCTGATTTGCACAGTTTTGTTTCTCTTTTAACATCAGATGTTTAATGTTTCTGAGCATAAGCAAAACGTGGAAGCCATGATTAAAAACATTAACACAATTTCTTTGGAGTTGAAGAAGATGAAAGGTAAGTATGGAATCAGTGAATTAAAATGTTTGCTTGTCATTGTTATACAATAAACAGTAGAACCAGTTTTTGCTTCTGCTGGGGTATAACTGAATTTTGCCCACTACTTAGGATTTTTCTGTTTTCTTAAGAAATGTTTACACTCTAATATGAACTAGAACTCTGAAGATGAATTAGGTTTGAGCATTGGAGTTAGCCAACTTGAATTCCTGTCCCTGACACCAGCAAGCTTATTATGTCTAACTATCCTCTCTAAATTTACTTCTCTTCCTTCTCTTCAACAAACTGTTACGTGGCAATGTCACATTCTGCAAGATTCAGTGTCTTTATCCATTAACCCTTACTAAGCCTCCTAAGGCTCTTTACAAATTAAAAATTATAAGTTTGTGTGATTCTGTCAGTTAAGAGTTCTTCATTTTAAACAGATTAGAGTACGAGTAGACCTTATAAGTCATGATGTTTCGTCCCTGATCTCACAGGTATATTCTGTTTTATCCAGGCCTGTACAGTTTCCATGATTGAATATTTCTAGGGATAATCTGTCCCAGACCCAACATATCCTATGTGGAGGGAGTTCTTCTCATCAGTTAACCTGTTGCATTTTAGACAGTTCCTCCTTATGGACTAACTGAAATCTGTTCCCCTGTTTTTTCACTCACTGGTCCTATTTCTAACCATGAAAAGGACACTGCATATCTCATTATTCTTTTTATGACAACTCGTGGATATTTGAAGATAGCCTCTGTGTCAGTTACGAAGCCTTCAGCTACTAGTAACAAAATACCAACTTAACATGGCTCATACAATAAGGAAAATAACAAGATCCAAAGTAGGGCAGCCCTAAAGTTGATTCAGAGTTTTAATGACTTCATCAGGTACCAGGTTCTATCTTTTTACTTTGTTGTGTTCATTTTGTTTGTCACTCCTCATCGTCATTAACTGCAGACATGGCCATATACAGACACTATCTCTTTATGTGAGCCTTTTCCCAGATCCCTCCAGCACATTCCCCCTTTGCTTTCATTGGCCAGATTTGCATCACATGCGTATGCCTACAGCAGCCACCACCAAGGGGATGGGGCTGCCAAGACCACTTTGGACCAGTCAGGACTTACTGCTGGACCTGGGGAGAGGAGCACCTCAAATGAAATCAAGTTGTGCCACCAAGAAGAAGAGGGGAGTGGCTGTTAGTAAGGCACCAAATAGTGAGTGCCTCTTATGCTTTTTCTATTTTCCCTGTGGCAGCATTTTCTAGACTTTGATCTGTAAACCCTGTTGTCTCAAGAGATGTTAATAGATGGTGTGCGGTAAAAATGGAGTCCATGTTCTTATGGTCAAATAAGTTGGGAAGTGCTTTATGCTATATATTTCTCTCACAAATTTATAGTACATATGAACAAAGGCACTGAGGAGTCTGATGTAAAAAAAAATCTGGTTAGCTTTGCTTAATTCATGATCTCTCAAAACCAATGTCAGCACTACAGCAAGGATTATCTTTCTAAAATGTAATCTGCTGAAAACCCTCCTTGGCTCACCATTGTCCTCAGGATAAAGTCGAAACCTCCTAGAATGGACTATAAGACTTCTTGAGGTCAGAACCCTGCCTGCCTCTCCAGTGTCTTGCTCTTTGTTTCCCTGCGTGTTCTATCCTCCAGCCATGTTGAGCCATTTGCATATGTACACATTTGCTGTCTTTTGTGTCTGTGTCTTAACACATGCATCTCCTCCTGAAATGCCCACTGCTGCACCCCCATCTCCACCCCACCAGCTTAACTGCTACTTATTAGTCAAAATTGCTTATATTGGAAAACTTTTTTTAAGCCAGCGTGTTGTCTCTTCTACCTTTTAGTATCACTTATCACACTGTGTTGTAATTGCACGTTTACTTACTTTTCCTATCCCTGCTCAACTGTAACCTCCATAAGGGCGTTCCTAACACTTAACACAGTGCCTTGATATAATAGATTCTTGGAAAATGTTTATTAAGTGAATAATTGGTTCTGGATGCTTGCACTCATTTAAAACAATTAGCTTTAGATTCCTCTCAAACTTGATTATCTAACTGTTCTAGTTTGGGGATTATTCTTTTGTGAAGTAAAATAGATATAATAAATATGATCTATGTGTTCCTGAAAAGTTATGGGGTAGGTCAAGTAGATAGGATACAAGGGACTTGTAGAGCTAGACTAGGAGGGTAGCCTTCTGGTATACATGGAATATTAAATGAACACTCCATTTACCCCCACATTCTCACTAAAATAGTATTGTCCATAGCTAACATTTATAGCATTTACCATAATTCAGATACTTTTCCAAGAACTCTACATAAATGAACTCAATTGTCATAACAACCCTGTGAGGTAGGAAATATTACCATTGGCATTTGCAGATACAGAAACAGACATGGAGAGGTTAACTAACTTTCCCAAGGTCACACAACTAGTCAGTGGTAGACGTGAGATTTAAATTTAAAGTCATTTTAAAGAGACAAAAATTCACAAGACAAAGAGCTCTCAAAAAGAGTTAACAACAAAACAGGAAGTAAATGGAAGCCAACAGAGAAATCTGAACCCTAAAGTCCAAAAATCTGAACCATGAGCTGATTGGGTAAAGCCAAGAAATAGCCCCGAAGATTTAACACATGGTGGCACCAGAATCCTCTGGAAGTGGAGGTGAAGATGGGGCTAAGAACAGGAGGACTGGTTCAATGTTTGTTTAAGAAGTTGTAGGGGCCGACCCCGTGGCATAGTGGTTAAGTTTGGTGCACTCCTCTTTGGCGGCCCAGTTCAGTTCCCGGGTGTGGACCTACACCACTTGTCAGTGGCCATGCTGTGGCAGTGACCCACATACAAAATAGAGGAAGATTGGCACAGATGTTAGCTCAGGGAGAATCTTTCTCAGCCAAAAAAAAGAAGTTGTAGACCCCTGAGGTCTCTTCCCCTCTCTATATAACTGGGCAACTGTTTCTCCTCTGTAATTGAAGACTCAAGTTTTATTCCCTGAGAGGATAAAACAGGGGATCTCTGGCCTGGAGCCACTAAGCCACAAGTTGAGGGAGAGAGTACTGTACTAAAAACAAGGGTATTAAGACAGAGTTTACATACTGAATTACAAGACCTCAGCTTTCTTTTTCCACTTGGCTACAAAACATTGGCAGCCAGATTTATACCCTCACGTAGATTTTTCTTTCAGGAATCTGACCAGCCTAAGAGAAAAGATCTAAAGATACTGATAGCAGAGGTTCCCCAAACAAAATACCCAGCTAGATCACCCCACAATATAGACTACTATGGGCATAGAGCTTCCAATTGTCTTTTTAGTGCCATGGTCTTAAATATGAGCAGACAACTATGGCACAACAGCTATTTGAGGACAGCATCTAAAATGAAAAGTGGAGACAAAACAAATAAATAGATTCAATCAATGAGGAAGAAACAGAAATTATGAAGGGAAGTGAAAACTCTAAGAAACTATCATTAATATCCCCAGAGAAGAGACAATGCTATGTCCATGAAAAAGTAACATGAAACTATAAAAAAATACGGAACAAAAGGGAGCCCTTGTAAATTAGAAGTGTGACAATAGAAATATACTCTATAGAAGGATTTAAAGATAAAATGAAGAAAATGTCTTAGAGTGTAAAGCAAAAAAGCAGAGATGGAAAGTTTTAGGGGGAAAAGATACAAGCTCTGTCAAGGAAGTCCAACATCCAATAAATAGGAGTGTTAGAAAGAGAGAACATAGACAACAAACGGGGAGGAATTCATTAAAGAAATAATCTGAGAAAATTTTCCAGAGTTGAAGAGTATGAGTTTTTACAATGAAAGAGACCAAGACAATGGATGAAAATAGACCCATACCAAAGTACAATATTGTGAAATTTCAGAACAGTGGAAGAACAAAAACATCCTTAAAGCCTTCTAAAGAGAAACAACAATAAAGAGTTAGAATCATGTGAAAGTTCTCAATATCAACACTGGAAACTAGAAGAAAATGCAGTAATGCCTTTGGAAATCTGAAGAAACATTTCCAACCTAGACTTCTGTAGTCAATCTATTAAGCATTGGTGTAGAGAGTGACATTTTCAGACATATACTTTTCCCCCCCAGGAAGTTACTGAGGTTGTATTCCACCAAACAAAGAAGCAGACCAAAAAGAGAAAGACATGAGATTCTGGGAAAAGGATACTCCACACAAGGGAGAGGTGAAAGGAGTCCCTAGGATAATGGTGAAGGGAGTTCCCAAGATGCAAACTGTACAGCAGTCCTAGAGAGCAATCAGTCCAGACTCGAGCAGATCAGAAGGCTCGAGGAGAGAAGAGACTTGCAACAATAGAATAGCTAAGGCACTTGACTATACGGAGAGGAGATTACCCAACTGGGGGAAATTTGGGATATTCTTGATAATTAAGCAATGAAAAAAGAAAATTATTAACTGTGGTTGGGTGGAAGGGAAATGTCATACTATAAGATTCAGCTGTAAGAATATTTATATAATTAAAATTTTTTTCACATTAAATAGTGAGCTAACAAAAATTGTACTCAAGTATATTAGGAAAGTGGGGGTGAGTGAAAAGAGCTATATCTTAATCTTCTATAGTCAGAAGCAGATAGATGATACCTCAAATTGACAAAATAAAATATGCATGTCGTTTAGAGATATGGAGGTAATACCAACCCCTGCAAAAAAACAAAAAAACTCAACAGAAACACACGAAACAACAACAAAATGAGCTAAAAAAAGTTAAATGTGGTTCCTCTGGGAGATAGGAACTGCTAGTTTTTGTAACGTTCCTTATAGACCTATTTGATTCTTTATACTATGTACATGTACAACAGATAAAAATATTGCGTTAAAGTATAAATAAAATTTGCATAAATCAAGTTGCAGTTTAGTGAGATAGCTGACAAGTTGGGCTAAAGAGCCCTTCTAGTAAATTTTTATGTCACGCTTATTTTGTATTACATAAATTTGACTTTGAAGTCAAAGCCATCTAAACTGTGGTATGATCAATAATCACTTAAAAGAAAACTGAATTTAGAATTGGGAAATAGCTACTGAAAGGAATAATAGTCTGTGACATATGTGCTATAATATAGTATCTTTTATTTTGTTTTGCACAGAGCTCTCCCAGTTACTGCTTTGTGACCTTACTCTACATTTTAGTCATCCTGTGAAGATAGATGACTTAAAGGAAACAGAAAGAAACAACCCCCCCTTTGAAGAATCTAAAATATCAGATGTATCCCTTGCTTCTAACAGTTTTTCTCTTTGATTTCTCATTTGTTTGTTGTGAATTTCTAACTATATTTATTGTTGAATTAACAAATACCTGGGAGAATTGATTTTACTAATATATTTAATGTAATAAAAAACAAAATAAAAATATGTTGAGTTGTAAATAGTCATTTCATATTCTTGAAGGCTGTTTTATTATTGTTTTAATGTTAAAAAGATTGGCTAATTGATTTCACTAATGGCAGGAGTATGACATAGGAAATTGGCCATGGGGCATTGCTTATCCTTTACCTTATGCTTGAATTTGGCTCAGGTTGAAAGAGAGTTACTAAATTATAAATGGATAGTATGATTTTATATTAATCAGATCTCTCTTGATAGCAAGTGCCAAAAACAACTCAAGCTAGCTGAAGCATTTATTGGGTCGTGTGACTTGGAAGCCCATGGTTGGAGTAGATTTCAGGGACTCCACTAATTCATCAGATGTCTCTATCCTGGTTCTGTTTCTGTGCATTGGCCTCATCTGCTCCTGTTATAGACTGATTTCCTCCAAAGGGCAGGTAGAAGAGGGTGGAGGCATGGCAGCAGACAACTCCAGGTGTACAAAATTAACTTTGAGGGAGACCAGAGAAAAGAGAGACCCTCTGTCTCAGCTGCTATGTTTAACATTCCGGAGAAAGACCTTGATTGGCCTAGATTTGGTTAAGGTGTTTATCCCTGAACAGGGTCCTGAGCAACTGTGATTGGTGAGGCTGGTGTCATATGCCAGGTCTGTGGCCAAAGGAGGAGAGACCCTGCCAGAAGAATGGAGTTGCCATGGCCTGAAGGAGGGCAGAAAGAATGCCATGAAAACATCAGATACTCACCACTGACTTCAGTCAGAGCAGTGAAGTAGCCTTTAGTTTTAGGATATCTTTATCCTAAAACTTTCTAATTTCCATCCCTTTCCACCAAAGGAGACTTAAAATAATAGGCTTTGATTTGCCTTGTAAACATAATTCACTACGAAATAGTTGCTTTGAAATGTACCATGCCCTTCTTTTTAGATATTTTTGAACATAAAAGAATACCATGAAGCAAGACACAAGGGCAGCTCACTCCATAACAGAACGGGTGGTGTTTGCTATCCTCACTACCCGGCACCCAGCTCAGTGTTTACCACAGAATAGACAACAAATGCTTGTTGAATATCCTGTTGAATAAACATGTAAATGAATGCAGGTTTTTCAGCTTTAGAATTGCCAAGTTCTGGACCCTAAATTGAGAACTTATGGTTTGTAAGGATGAAGTTTTGTGAAACATCCTTTTTATATATCATTGATTAAAATTCTCCACATACTTGTTGTCTTAGCTAACTGTCAGTTTTAACTCAGTGACTTCCAAGATTCCTTCCAATGTTCTGTTAGCTCAT